ATTTCCATAAGGGTGTCTCCTGCATTTTCTAAGATTCTTATAGTTTGAGGTTTTACGTTTAGGCCTTTTGATCCATTTAGAGTTAATGTTTGTATGGTGAGAAATCTTTTCTTTAATCAATTCTCCAGGAAGAAACCCTATCATTGCCGTTCTCACGTCAATATCACTTATCGTCAGGATTTTGTTTGGTGTAACTAACTAGAGGCACCTCCAACTTCACATGTGTAAAACAAAACTCCTGAATTTCTTTCTTTCCCAAATGTTTTATTTCCTCGGTGCTCTCTCTCATATGGTCAGGCCCAAACCCTGTTTTCTCCCTTGCCTGAGCCAGCAGCAAATGCTGCCAACTCCTCTGATTGTCAACATTCCATCACCTTCCTCCTGACTGGTCACCACTGCCCGCAGCCTGGGCTAGGGAGTAGCCTCCAACTGTCTTGCTTCTGCACTCATCCTATGGCTTGTCATCAGAACAGTTTCAGCATCCTTCAAAAATTCATATTGCGATTCCTATCTGCTCAAAGTGCTGCAATGGCTTCCCATTTTGTGCAGAGAACAAGTCGAATCTTTTACTGGCCACCAAAGTCTTCCATGAGGGTCCCCTTCTGTTTCACTGGCTTCCTCTCCTTCTACTCTTACCTTGGTCTGTTCTGCCCCCAACTGTTCCAAATGAGGCTCTGCTGTTCACTCTGCCTGTGACCCATGGCTAGCTCCCTCATTTTTTACAGGTCTCAGCTCAAATGTTACTTTGTAAATGAGGTCTTCCCAGATCATTCCACATTAACACACTGTCCACTGCGTGAGGCAATAGAAATTTAAATGAATTAAAATGAAAGAACATGAAAAATCCAGTTCCTCAGCTGCACGACCTACATTTCAAGTGCTCAGTATCAACATGAGGTCAGTGGCTACAGTACTGAATGGTGCAAATTCAGAGAAAGAGCCCATCACCACAGAAAGCACTGCTGGACGGCAGAGCTTCAAGTGCTCTCCTTGCCCTGGCTTCTTGGTACTTTCACCACCGACCCGAGAGATATCCTTGTATGGCTCACAGTCTGCTTCCTCTACAAAGGCAGCACTTTTCTCTAAGAGGGCAGGCACTAGATTAATAAAATGAACATCCTGGGTTTATGTCATTTTTCTTGGTGGTTTCATATGTAATGATAAATATAAACATTTTGTTGTGTTTTTTGAAACACCAATGGTACCACAATATAGAACATATAGCTGTCCCTCATTTTTTAAGATTTGCTGCCTATTATTTTAAAAATATATGTTCTGTAATTTACCAATGCCTCCATTAATAGGTGTTGAATTTGATTCTGACTTTTCACTATTACAAACAGTGCTGCAGCAGTATCCTTGCACATGCCTGTCTGTGCCCATGTGTGGGTGCTTGCATATTGAAGTGCCTTCCAAAAGACTACCGATTTACTCTTCCACTCTTGCCAATGATATAATTTTCTATTTTTATTTCTTGTCAGTTTGGTGGACAAAGAAATTATTATTCCATGGCTCTAATTTTCATTTGTCTGATAACTTTCTAGACTTAGTAGTTGTCTATTACCTATTTGGATTTCTTCTTCAGATAATTTTTCAATTAGTGTGTCTTTGTCCTCTTTGTTCATTTAGTAAACATTTATTGATCCCTCACTATATTCAGGTTCTGTTTGGGATGCTTGTGATACAGAAGCAAAGATGACAAAGCCTAGTTAGGGAGAGAAACAGTGTAATGCCAGATGACATTCAGAGTCATGCTGAAAAGTATAGTCTATAGAGGGGTCAAGAAACGCCAGGAGGGCTGGGTGTGCTGGCGCACACTTATAATACCAACACTTTGGGAGGCCAAAGTGGGAGGATTCCTTGAGTCCAAGAGTTCGAGACCAGCCTGGACAACGTAGCGAGACCTTGTCTCTACAAAAAATAATTAGTTAGGCATGATGGTACATGCCTGTAGTCCCAGGTACTAGGGAGGCTGAGGTGGAAGGACTGCCTGAGTCCAGGAGGTTGAGGCTGAACTGAGCCATGATCGTGCCACTGCACTCCAGCCTGGGTGACAGAGTGAGACCCTGATTCGGGAAAAAAAAAGAATGAGATGGAAATGGAAAAAAAAAATGCCAGAAATTTACTGAGAAGGTGACATCTGAGCAGAGATCTAAAGGAAGTGTATAACAAACCATGTACATGTGTGGCAGGAAAATGTCACAGGCAGACAGAAAACAAATGCAAGGGTCCTGAATATCTGAACGCAACAAGGAGCAATGCGGCTGGAGGGGAGGGCATCAGAGAGGCTCCGAAGTCCTTGAAGGAGGCTTGCTTATTCTTTTTTTTAAGGTAGCTTCTACTTTTATCAAATGTATAGATGCAGCTACTTTCAGCAGTCAAACAGTTCTTCAAAGCTTACGAAAATGGCAGCATTTGAAAGGGCACTCCTATCCCTTTTTCTGATCTCCAGGAAGAACCACTTCAATCCTAACTATCTTTAGATGTTCAATGCATTGTTCAACACAAACCGTAACCTCGAATTTTAGTGAGGCATCCATCAGATTATGAGAAAAGAAAGTTCCAGGATACTTCTGATGGGAACATAAATAAGCATATGCCCCTGGGAGAACAACTACAGCACACGGCTATCATTTCTTCTTATAAATTAAGGAGATCTAAACAGAACTGCTTGTAATGGGTAGATTCAATCTTGCTGTGTATTTGCACAGAAATGAATAAATAAATGATGACTTATTTACAGAATAGAATGCTATCTGGCAGTTTAAGTGAATAAGCCAGACCTACATTATTCAAGTGCATAAATCTCAAAAATATAACAGTGATGCTAGAGAATGAAGACAGCAAGTTGCAAAAAGATACCCACAATATGCCATTACTTATGAAAAGGACTTTTTTTTTTTTTAAGTCTAGGTCTCACTGTCGCCCAGAATGGAGTATAGTGGCACAATCACAGCTCACTGCAACCTCAGCCTCCTGGCCTCGGGTAATCCTCCTACCTCGCCCTCTCCAGTAGCTAGGACTACAGACTGCCACCACGCTCAGCTAATTTTCTGATGTTTCTGTAGAGACACGGTCTCGTTATGTTGCCTAGATGAAGTCTCTCAAACTCGTAGGCTCAAGCAATTCTTCCACCTCAGCTCCCCAAAATGCTGGGATAACAGGCAGGAGCCACCACGTCTGGTCTTTATGTAAAGTTTTAAAATGCTCATGACAATATCTATATCCAAAGTAAAAGTGTTTAAAATGACAGGAAGAAGCTACACTAACTTCTTGTGCTTAATCAGGGGAGAAGAAGAAATGAAAAGGGAGAAGGATGCTTCATCTGTAACTGGAACATTTTATCTCCTTAACAAAATCACAACTAAATATTAATAGAATGTTAGCATTGCAAAATCTGGGCAACAAGTACATACTTTTTCTGTAAGTATTCTATAATTAAACATTTTTAAAAATTGAAATATGCAACCTAATAAAATACTGAAAATGAAAATATTCATAATAAAGAAGTTGCTCCTGCCACTTTATTCATACTAAAGAAGTTGCTCCTGTTTCCAAAATATCAAGAGTAGCTCATGAAAAATGAATCAGCCTTAGATTGCTTAGTATTTATTTCTCTCTGGAGTAGATTTTCCCTCTCTATTTATATCTCTTTGTACTCTTCCCATTATTTGGTTGTACCAGTCTCTTTTCAAATTATTTCTGTAGAATTATTTGTGCTTTTCATGTTCTCACCATTGGACAGGAAAAGACAGCAGTTCAGAAAGGCACCTAAACTCTCCTGGCCACAGTTAGAACTCTGCAGGACAATACTAGCTGCTAGCTCTTTACA